CTAGAAATGTTCTAGAATTAACTAGAGGTGATGGTTGCATAGCTATGTAAATATTAAACCACTGAACTGTACGCTTGAAAAGGGTGAATTTGTGGTCTGTGAATTATGTCAATAAAGCTGTTATAAAAAATAGGTAGCAACAATGAATTTAGTTTGTAGACATGGTAAGTTAGTTGATAACAAGATAAACTTAGCTTATAAATAGTCTGCCATACACAAAAGGCTATAGAAAATTATTTTCAGTGAACAATTAGCCAGATATAAACTTTCTTTCCCTCCTGTCCTAGTGACATCCAAAGAGAAACAATTAAGCAATGCATAAGTAATTTCATCATTGAAGTTAGTAAGAATTAAGAAAGAAAAATAGCAAAACTTAACCAAGACAATATGATCTAACTGCGTACAAATGTGTTCTTTCTGGAGAGGAGAAAGGACAGATTAAAAATTAAGGCTATAACCTTAATTTTTAATTAAGGTTTAATTAAGGAGAAATTTTAAATCAAGAAAATATTTCACTAGAGACACTCCTGGATGTTGTAAAGACAACTTCTACAAACTGACCTCAGGCAAACAGCTGCGTACACAAGGCACAGAATCAAATTTGGAGACGTGGGAAACCTGGCATGGAGATACCACAAGGCAGTTTGGGGAATGCCAAGAATTAACAACATCAAGTGTCCCGTGGCCCCCAGGAGCCAAAGGCCTCAGGCAGGTTGTCATTCCCTCAGTGTTTTTCCAGAATGCTCTATGTCACCGCCCTTCTCTTCTCCTTGGATGGACTTCCGCTGATGACTAGCAGGAGATCAAGGAATAGCCAGCCAGAAGACAGAATCCATTATGCACAGAAACCCTGAACTAGAGCAAAATTCTGAAGCATCAAAGAAATCGGGCCGAATCCTGTCTTTCACTGCCCTTGTACTTGAGCCTAGTGCTTCCACAAGGCAAACATTCAGAATGAGGACACTGGCAAAGAGGAGGAGGAGAAAGAGGATGAAGAACAGCAGCAGCAGGGCTGGAAGGTCTGGCACATTCCAACCCACAAGGATAAAATGGAAGTGGGCTCAAAGTGCTATTCTGATATGGTGAAATCAATCACAAACATTAAAAAAAAAAAGAATTAAACTAAAAAGATGAGTACCGCTGACACTGATTCAGTAAAGACGAGAAACTTGGCTTAAAAACAGAAAGCATGGTTACAGAATGGCCTCCCTGCCATTTTAAAAAACTCCCGAAAATGTTCAAAACGGGAAAGCGAGCAGGGAGGATGCCGGTTTGATCATGAAAACAGCAGTCGTGCATCTCAAACAACTGTGAACCTATTACAGAAAAATGCCATTATAGAAGAAGCACAATTGACCTTTCATTTCGATGAAACTATTTTTTAAGAAAAATTTCTAAAGTCAGGGGCATTTACGGCAAAACAAACTGTCAGAGTTTAAGGCTGTAAAGGTAAACTGAGCCTTTTGCTTGGGAATAACATGGCAGAAGATCACATATAGTGGTATCTCAACTTGCTTATCCCTCAGAAAGACCATATATATGTAACACACTTTCAGCTCTAATAAAATCCTGATTACACACAACCATGCAAAAGAGCTGCATAAGTCAGGGAACATTCTCTACCAAAATTATTCTGACAAGTTTCTATTTCACTAGAATCTCCTCGAATTGATATACTGTATTTAGAGGATTGGATCAAATAATTCAGCTAACTGGGCAGGGTTCAGATTCTGATATTGCCTGCATAGTATTTATAATTCTTGGTAATGATGGGACAAAACCACATTCAAATCTGCTAGAACAATGCTGAATACTCGCTCAAAGGTCCTTAAGTACCATCCATGAAAGCTACCTACACTTGGGCTAGTTAACGGGTTATTTCTAGAACTCAGCTACTGAAGATAAAGTGGAAATGTGTTCTTCAGGGATGTGCCAGAGCTGACCAACCACCGATGACATCTCTTCTCAACCCTGACCTTGGAGACACAACATTGGTAGGTCAAAATCAGCCTCTGGTGGGAGTATTTACATCCCTGAAACAGAAAACACTATAAATCAGAGCGTCTTTTTCTTCTGAGAGTCATTTCTTTTTATTTCTTTTTAAGATTTTATTTATTCACCTGACAGACAGAGATCACAAGTAGGCAAAGAGGCAGGTGGGCGGGGTGGGGAGGAGCAGCCTCCCCGCCGAGCAGAGAGCCCGAAGCGGGGCTTGATCCCAGGACCCTGGGATCACGACCCAAGCGGAAGGCAGAGGCTTCAACCCACCGAGCCACCCAGGCACCCCATGAAAGTCATTTCTTATAGACGATTATTTATCATCCATAAATACTGCAACTGTACAAATCTAAGATAGGCAGCTGGAAGTGTAAATAAATTTAATCTGCTTCCACTTGACAAAGGTCAAATGGAAGAATATTAATAACCAGTTTTCCCTTAAGAGGATAAAAATAGCATTCTGATGGCTGCCAACAGAGTTACAACCCACCCATAAAGGGAAATTATCAGTTTCTAGAACAAAAATAAAGGAAGTCATAGAACCACCTTCCAGATTATTCTAGAGGTAAGGGGTAAGGAGCCATATTACTGCCAGATTGCTCCTTGACTAACCTACCCATAGTCACTTTCCCCTCTTTCTTACAGGACCCTGATTTTATCCAGGGTGTCCCCCTCGAAAAAACTACATTTTCCAGCCTCTCCTGAACATAGTTATGCTACAACTAAGTTCTGGCCAATGAGATTTAAGTAGTCCTTGAGTAGGAATTCTGGGAAAGCCTTTTTTTTTTTTAATTTACTTGAGAGAGAGAGAGAGAGTGGGCGCAGGAGCATGAGTGGGGGAGGGGCAGAGGGAGAAGCAGACTCCCCACTGAGCAGGGAGCCCAATGTGGGGCTCCATCCTCGCACCCCAAATCATGACCCCAGTCGAAGGCAGATGCTTAACCAACTGAGCCACCCAGGCACCCCAAAAGCCTGTGAATAAAGGGGCATGGCCCTTTGCCATTTTCCCCCTCTGTCCTCCTTTCTGCAACCTGGAGCATGGATGTAATGGCTGCAGTTTCAGCAGCCATTTTGTCATTTTGAGAATGAAAGACTTGTACTCAGGATGACAGAACAGATCGAGAGAAAGATCCTCAGTCCCTAGTAACTATAAGAAAGCCATCAAAACAGCCCTGAACTGCACTACCTCTGGCTTTTTTGTGTAAGAGAATAAACCCTTATAAAATAAGTTCACAGCAGGTAGGTCCCTTTTACTAGCAGCTAAACAAAATCCCTAACAAATCTAAATCTTAGCTTCATTGGCAGGAGGTACAGACAGAAGCCATACAGAGCTACCACCTAAGGAATGTGGTGATTCAGGGAAAGGGAGAAACTCATCACATGCTCTTCCCCCTTCCTTGCGAGATTTTCTTTCTTTCTTTCTTTTTTCTTTTTTTTCCTGGAAATGACACGATTTTATATATTGGGGGGGAAAAAAAACCCTCAAAGAATATACAATAAATATCAGAGCAGGATACAGAATCAATATGTGGAAATCCAGTTGCAGTCCATACCCTATCAATGAAAAATCTGAAAAAAACTAAGAAATCAATTCCATGTGCAATAATATAAAAAAATATCTAGGAATGATTTAATAAAAAATGCAAGATTTTTACACTGAAAATACAGTTTTAAAATTAACTAGAGAGGGGGCGCTTGGGTGGCTCAGTGGGTTAAAGCCTCTGCCTTCAGCTCAGGTCATGATTCCAGGGTCCTGGGATGGAGCCCCCACATCGGGCTATCTGCTCAGCAGGGAGCCTGTTTCCCCCTCTCTCTCTCTGCCTGTCTCTCTGCTAATTTGGGATCTCTGTCTGTCAAATAAATAAATAAATAAATCTTTAAAAAAATTTAACTAGAGAGGATAAAAATAAATGGAACCAAAACAGTATGGGAATGGCACAAAGTCAGACACGTAGGTTAGTGGAACAGAATAGAGAGCCCAGACATATATTTATACAATGAATTTGTGCCAGGAATATAAATTAGTATAGCCACAACGGAAAACATTACGGAGATTTGTCAAAAAATTAAGACTTGAACTACCATATGAACCTGCAACTCCACTTCTGGATAATGAAATCATTATCTCAAAGAGACATCTGCACACTCATGTTTATTGCATCATTATTCACAATGGCCAAGATATTGGAACAACCTAAATGTTCTGTGATGGATGAATGGATGAAGAAAATTTGGTATGTATGGTTTTTTTTCACTGTTTTTTTTCATTTACATTAAATAACTTTAAATTTTCATTTAAATTAAAAAAATTTTTCAATTACTTAACATTTCATGTATTATTAGTTTCAGAGGTAGAGTTCAGTGACTCATCAGTCTTATAAAACCCAGAGCTCATCACATCATGTGCCCTCCTTAATGTGCATCAGCCAGTACTCTATCCTCTCACCCCCTTCCCCTCCAGGAACCCTTGGTTTGTTTCCTATGATTAAGGGTATCTTATGGTTTATCTCCCTCTCTGATTTCATCTTGTTTTATTTTCCCCTCCTTTCCCCTAAGCCCCTCTGTTTTTTCTTAAATTCCACATATAAGTGAAATCAAATGATAGCTGTCTTTCTCTGATTGGGTTATTTCACTTAGCATAATACCCTCTAGGTCCATCCACATTGTTGCAAATGGCAAGATTTCATTTTTCTGATGGCTGAGTAGTATTCCATTATATATATGTACCACGTCTTCTTTATCCATTCATCTGTCGATGGACATCTGGGCTCTTTCCCTACTGTGGCTATTGTATTCTTGCCACATTTTCAAGAATAATTCTATAGCAGGTGAGTGGAGGGGAAGCACCCACAGGTTAAAATTAGATGACTAGTAGCTGAACTTACCAAAGACTGACAGAAAGAATAAGTCTGTGAAAGCAGGGGGTGTCAGGGGGCCCAGGCTAGGGACCCTGCATTGCTTCTTGCACTGTATCTAAGCAGGAGAGGGGCCCCTTTTCGTACCTCTTCAAGGTTGCAGAATTCCTGACGCAGGGCTAGCTTCAGATCAGCACATTCTCTCCCGCATCTCAATGCTACCAGACACTCCTTGGTCAAGTGTGGGACCTAATCAGAGAACACAGGTTCTTAGTAGAGCAGTCTGAGGAAACTCTGGGCTCCTGCTCTTTCTAAAAATGTAGCCAGAGCTTTATCACTCCAACTTAACAAGCCAACGCCCACATCCAGGCTCCCCACCTCCTCGGAGGGTCATCCCTGTGGTTCCAGAAATCCATGGTCACCGCACCATGGTAAAACAGGGTGCTTTAAAAGGGGTTCTCCAGTGCTCCTTACTTGCTCAGCTACTCCGTGCTGTACAATCTTAGGCGGGGCATTTAACCTCTCTAAGCCTCAGTGTTGTCATCTGAAAAATGGATACAGTAACAGTACCTACCCTAAAGGGCACTTGTGAGCATTAAATGAGTTAACCTTTATAAAGCAGGTAGGACAGTGCTTGGTACAGCATAAATGCTCAAGCTATGTCAGCCATTGATGTCCCTGAGTTCCTTTTACCTCTTTTCAAAGAGAACTATCATAAAATTTCCCCATCATTTTTTCCTGGATTATCAACAGGTACCCCCTTTTCTCTCTTTTTCACATTTCCTGCACAGTTGGGACTGCTGCTCCGAATAAAGGGCAATTCCCTTTCATGCATTCCCTTCTTCACACCCCAACAATTTTTCTACTTGAAACTTTAGAAATATTTCCTTTAACACACTACCAGTTTTCAGCTCTTCCAACATTCTTACCTGGAGTCACATGGTCCTAACCATGCTATAACCATACCTCTTGAGACTGCTGGTCAAAATAGAAAAGAGCCTATCAGTTAAGCCTTCCATCTTTAATATCAGAGGGGACAGCCTTACTATTATTCCATACTAGTTACCCTCCTAAGGGGCAGGTAATGTTGCAACAAAATGAAGCTTAGCTTCAAAAATGAACTCAAGTTTGGGAAACACATACAAAGTAAAATGGACTGTATGTAAGTGACTTTTTTTAAAAACTGGGTATACCTTATAGAATAACTCCAATAACATCTTCTGGCGAGCCCGCTCATAAGGGTCATATGGATACAGCTTTCTTCCCGGGTAAGCGTCATCCAGGTACTCACAAGCGATGACAGATTCGTAGATCAACTGACATTTGCTGTTCTCTAGGACAGGAATCTGGCCAAAAGGGTGCTTTGTATAGTACCACTCAGGCTTGTTTCTCAGGTTAATGTTGACAACTTCATGTCTTAAAAAGCAAAGGGAAAACAAGACAGAACTAGAAAGAGAGGCTTAGGGGCACCTGAGTGGCTCAGTGGGTTAAAGCCTCTGCCTTCAGCTCACATCATGATCTCAGGGTCCTGGGATAGAGCCCCACATCAGGCTCCCCACTCAGCGGGGAGCCTGCTTCTCCCTCTTTCTCTGCCTGCCTCTTTGCCTACTTGTGATCTCTGTCTGTCAAATAAACAAATAAAATCTTAAAAAAAAAAAAAAAGAAAGAAAGAAAGAAAGAGAGGCTTAGGCAGGCTGACACTAATCCCCAAAAGCAGAAGCAATCAATTTATAAAATTTAAGTTTGCCATAAGTTTTCCAAAGTTTGGGTTTTTCCAGAGAAAAATACATAGCAAGGTCGTTGTCTTCATGCCTGTAGTTAAGATGTGCTAAATGTTTTCTCTGCCTTGTCTCACGTGCTCCTTGTGACTCCTGGCTCCAGGAGTTTCAACCTCCTGCCCATTATCACTGTGAGGAAACATCAGAACCGTGCTGAGAGCCAGGGAGTCTGACTCAGAGAGCACGCACTTAACCACAGCATTCCAGAGTTTCCAACATCTTAACACTTGCAAATGCACATCTGATATTAACAGGTCACAACAGAATATGGTATATGTCCGCAGTTAAGAGCTTGAATTCTGGCATCAGACCGCCTGGGGTCTGGACAGTCTAGCTTGTGATGCGGGCCAAATTCCTTAGCCTCTCTGTGCTCAATGTCCTTAATTGGAAAATGGGGGTAATAATGGTACCCATCTCTTGGCACTGCTGTGAGGACTGAGTAAGTGAGTATGTCTGAAATGCTCAGGACAGTGCCTAGGTACATAAGCATCAATAACCTTCTTCTTATTCTCATTATTATCATTAGAGGCTCAAGCCTACCAGAATGTCAGGACAGTGCCTAGGTACATAAGCATCAATAACCTTCTTCTTATTCTCATTATTATCATTAGAGGCTCAAGCCTACCAGAATGCGCTCACTTATGTTTAAAAGATTAAAGGAAACAAATGAGTATATTCTTTGCTCCATCAAGGAGATGGTCTTAAATCGTAAAGCAGTGGTTTTCAACAGGGAGTGATCTTGGCCCATTCTGCAGGGACACAAGTCAATGTCTGGAGACATTTTTTGGCTGTCACAGCTAATGCAGAGAGGCCAGGGTGCTCCTAAAAGTCCAGCAGTGCACAGGATAGCACCCCATCCCAACCCAAACACATGTACATACAAAACTAAACTACCTGCCCCAAAATGTCAACAGTGCCAAGGCCGAGAAACCCTGCCCTAAAGAAATATTTACATTGGTTCCTAAGCTACCATTTTGTCACTAAGGGCAAAACATCGGGCTACTGTTCTCTAAATTTTATTTGAAATAGGTAACTTATTTTAAATAGGTAACCTTGGGGCCAAGGAGACTTGAATAATAAGGAAGAATCTGGAAATACATTCCATATACACTCAACAAAGCAGAATTATGTAATTTTGTTTAAACTGTCTCTATACTAGTATTTCTCTGACATGAATCTGAAACTCTGAAGTCATTCCTTAAAAGGATGGACTCTTCGAGAGTCAAAAGCCTCACTTTGGCTTTGAGGCCAGCTGCCTCCCCCCAACCCAGTCCCTACTCCAGCAAAGTGGCTCTGCCTCCCACATCCAGACCTCCCAGGCAGGTGCTGGTTTTACAGAATCCCTTCTGGAAGAAAATGGATCTATTTTTCAAGTATGCCAGAACCTTAAAGAGGCCTCTTGACTGAAGTTTTTTCTATGTCACTGTTTGGAACTATTTGTCCATTCATTCAAAAAAATATTTTTGAACACCTACCTTGCACCAGGCTCTCTGCTAGCTCATGAATAAGAGAGACAAAAGCCCTACCCTCAAGAACTGATGTTTAGCCTTAGGGGGATGGCGGGGGAGGGGAGGTAGCGGTGGAAGTGGGGCTGGGCAGAGTGGAAGAAAGGACAAACAAAACTGTCGGAAGCGGGAAGCGCTAAAAGGAAAGCGAGCGCACAGAAGGCGCGGGGGCGGGGTGAGGCGGGGAGGGGCGGGGGTGGGGGTGTGAATGGAAGCGGGGGGCTGGCTGGCTGGCTGGAGCTGTCCCGGAAGGCCTGGGGAGCCCCCGCAGTGCCCTGCCTTCAGCCTCGAGACGGGAGGGATCCTTCTCACCAGAGGCCCCGTTAGGTCTGCACTGAGCTCTCCTGAAAGTTTCACGCACAGACTCGGCTCCGCTCGGAAGCAAGCTGGGCCGTTGCGGACCGCCCGCTACAGAACCCGCCCAGGACTAACCTTTTAGGAGCCCCTCTGAAGTCTGAGCAGGGCGCCCCAGATTTTGAACACCCCGCGCGCTTGCGCGGCTCAGGCCTCCGGCTTCTCACCTGATGCCTTTGGCCCGGAGGACGAGGCGCGTCCTGTGCGCGTAGGGGCAGAACCTCATGCTGTAGACGCGGATCAGGCCGTCTGGGACCGGCCCGGGGGGGAGGCTTCCTGTGGGGGGAGACGAGGAGGCAGGGGCCCGTAAGCCCACGGGGAGAGGGGCTCTCTCGCTTCCCCCCGGGACCCCAGGAGAAGTGCTCCCGCCCCACCTCGTGCGACCGAGAAGACACATTTGTATGTGTCTTTTGCGCAAAGGATCCCTTCAAATCCCTCCCCGCCGCGCTGGCCTGGGGGCCAAGGCCGAGCAACCCCCTCTCCAGAGCCAACTTTCCCAGCTACGCGGCGACCCCAGTCCGGGGACCGCGGTCGAGGGGGCTCACCTTTCCCAAAGGACCTAGTCGCATCCTCCATGATCTCCGAGCGTGAGCGAGACGTAGAACGCTCGCCGAGGCCGCAGGTTCCGAGAACAGCCGCGCTCCAGCGCGCCCCTCCTGCCCCAAATTCAATTTTTGAGTGACTGAGCTCAGGGGTGGGGATGGGGGTGAGGGTAAGGGGACAGAGGGGAAAGTGATCTGGGATAGGAGCTAGGATAACTTAACCAAGAGACACTTCCCCCGATCTAGAGGCCCCAGAGTTGAGAGTGGGCAAGAAACCCCTGAAAAGTACCCCTTGCCTTGAACACGTGGGCAGCGCATTCAGTGGGGTCTCTCCTCCACATCAAAAAATCCCTGAAGAATGGGCATTTGAACTCCAGCATATCTTTCAAGGGAGTTTAATAAAACTTGACCAGGGTAATATGTTTTCGTTCCCATCCTAAGCCCTCCCTCCTGCCTCTCTAAGACAACTGGACACAACCTCTCTATAATGAGTAAGATTTGTTTGTTTGCTTTATATAAAACCAAATTTCCTCCGGATATAGCAGATAAGGAAAAAACCTTGTTAGCGTTGCGATCTTGCATAACCTTGGCAGTGAGTGCCTCCTTAAATTTGGTGCCCTAGACCCCACACTTGCTTCACCTTTAGTTCTGGCCCTATTTGTGAGACTTTGCCCCAGCTATGGAAAACAGGTGATGAATGTAAACATTCTTCACCTAGAGGCAGAAACAAATTTGTGAACTCTTTCCACCTGCAGCATACATTTCAGAGAAAACTCTTTCTGATTGCTAGGGAAAACATGACCAACAGCCCAGCCATGTGCCACTTGGAGAGCTCTTCCATCCACCTTGGATAAAAGAGGTAGCTGGCCTTTGCTCAGACCCTGATAGGCTGAGATCTTGAATTCATCAGGTGATAAAATAGTTCCTTTAATTTTACACAACTTAGTGGAAATGGGAATTGCTTGTTGATGGACTGTATGAGATTGACAGGTAAAGAAGGAAAGAAAATTATGATTATGTCCCACTCACACTAATCGATTTCCACTGACTACCTTCTTTGATTCCCATGACTACTCAGTTAGGCAGGTAGTATTATTCCTATTTTACAAAATAGAAAACAGCCTCAGAAAAAATGAAATTATTTCTCCAACGTGATCAGCTAGTGGGGTCAAAGAACTTTAAAAGCCTAAAGCCTGACTTACCGTCTTGACCTCTAAAGGTGGTAACAGTATGAATAGGAAAGAATGTAAGTCCTGGAAAAGTGGTAGCCCATAATAGCTGCTCAAATGTTAGCCAAATCCAAATAGCTTTGTTAAAACAACAGAACCTAATTATGTAATTATGAATGGGTCACTGTTGGCCTTTGGAATTCCAATATAATTAGAAATTCTTGGTTAATAGGTTAACATTTTTTTTTTCTACTGAATAAGAATCTTTTAAAATCTTCAGGATAGTGACTCGGTTACATTTTTTGCTAAGTCAGAGTGACTTCATGTGATTTTGAGGAGCTGTCACCTTGTAAGAATAGGAGAATGGCAAAAATGTTTGAATAAGTGTTCTCTGAAAATAAAATGCATGTATGTCAGCAAGACATCTGGTATTGGAAAAGACAAACTGACTTGCTATGCTAACAATTTTGTGCTTTGGGAGACAGATAAAGTAATAGGATGATTACTGTTCTGGAGCTAATTTTGATCAAGAGGAACAAACTGGGTGGTAAAATTAAAGCAATAAACATAACCATGTCATGGGAGATTTTCTGGTAGACAAGCAGATGACTCCCAGGCAGACAAATGTATCCCCACATAAAGAAAGCAGATTTCAGGGATGCCTGGGTGGCTCAGTGGGTTAAAGCTTCTGCCTTGGGCTCAGGTCATGATCTCAGGGTCCTGGGATCAAGCCCCCCGCATTGGGCTCTCTGCTCACCAGGGAGCCTGCTTCCCCTCTCTCTCTGCCTGCCTCTCTGCCTACTTGTGATGTCTCTGTCAAATAAATAAATAAAAATCTTTTTTAAAAAAGAAAGAAAGCAGATTTCAAAGAGTTGAGAAAATATATCCAGATTCTAAAGCGGACGGCCATAAGAGGATTGTGAAATTGTTAAAATAAAAATAAATGATTACTTACATGTATTTGGTGCTTTATGTGTATTCACTCATTTAATCCTTAAAATAGTCTTATTAGAATTCTATAATTTCATTTTTTTAAAAAGACTTTATTTATTTATTTGACAGACAGAGATCACAAGTAGGCAGAGAGGCAGGCAGAGAGAGAGGGAGAAGCAGGCTCCCTGCTGAGCAGAGAGCCCGATGTGGGGGCTCCATCCCAGGACCCTGAGATCATGACCTGAGCCAAAGGCATAGGCTTTAACCCACGGAGCCACCCAGGTGCCCCTATAATTTCATTTTTAACAGATGACTAAGCTGACGTTGGCAAGGTCAAGTCACCTGTCAAAAACCTTATAACGAGTTTAAGAAAAAGAGGGAGGACTGTGAAGCCTGGAAGTTCAACTCCTAGGGGAGGACTGCAACCAGAATCTTATCTATTACCAGAGATAGCCAAACTTTTCTGTAAAAGTCGAGATAGTAAATACGTGAAGCTTTTCCCAGCCATCTTGTCTCAACTGCTTACCTCTACATTTTAGAGTGAAAACAGCCATAGATAATATATTAATGAACAGGGGTGGCTGTGTTCCAATAAAACATTATTTGTGGATGCTGAATTTAAATTTTATATATATTTTTAAAAGGCCTTTTTTTTTAGAGTAGTTTCAGGTTCACCACAAAACCGAGAATATATGGAGTTATCCCATATACTTACTCACTACCCCTACACAAACACAGCCTCCTGCACCATCAACATCCCCCATCAGAGAGGTACATTTTTACAACTGACAACCTTGCACTGATACAATATTGCCCAAAGTCCATAATTTTCATGAGGGCTCACTCGTGGTAAATTTCATATAATTTTCATGTGGCACAAATTATGATTCTTCTCTTGATTTTTTAAAAACCATTTAAAAATGTAAAAACCATTCTTCACTCTTGGGCTGTACAAAAACCAGCCGGGGACTGGCATTGGCCTGATGGCCTTAGTTTGCCCACCCCGGGTCTACAGTGACAATGACTGAATTAGCTATGGACAAACTGGGAATTCCATTTGTAAAGTAGAAGGTTACTGGATCACCTTTTTACTATGCCAGAAGAGAACATATTTCCAACTTTCTTCCGCTAAGGGAAACCAACTCTAAGATTTGGAAGATTTGTATTAAAAGTATATCTGTGTATGGGAAGTCACATTCTAAAATATCTGGTGTAGTTAGAAAAGAATAGATAGAACAATGGAAATATTCCTTCCTCTGAAGGAAAGCAATACAGTGTCAAGATTCTTACTTGGCACTATATCTAAACTCTGGCTTTGGCACTTAGGCAAGCTCTCTCTTGGACCTTCATCTTCCTCATCTGTAAAAAAGAGAACACGAATAGTACCTACCGGATAGGTTTTGAATATTGAATGAAATTGTGCACATCCTCAGTATAGTAAAAGCTCAGTGTACTTGAAAATTAATGACTAATATTAGTGAATAAGAACATGTTTAATAGCATAATGCACTCCAATTTTGTATCTATAAAGATCAAATACACTGCAATTCTGCTTTGCCAAGCACATTGGAATTGAAATTCAACTCAGAATACTTATTTCGCCAGTTACCAATTTAATGCCAGTTGAATGGGTTGAATGCTGCAGGCTACATTTCAGTAATGTGGTTTTTAATCTTACCACTGAATGCTAGGGTTTCCCTGGAAAGATTTTAATTACAACCTTTAAACTTATCCCTACTTCCTTTTTAGGAACCAATATGTACCTTTTTGAAATCCTATAAGCAAACTTTCTTTCATGTTATTATATCATGTTGATACCTCTATTATACTGATTCACTCAAGCAAAAAAAAAAAAAAAAAAGAAAAGAAAAACCACCACACACAACAAATAGTAATAGCACCATATGAAACCTACTCTAAATCTATTTCTAGCTACCTGAGATATAATCAGATCTGTTTTGAAAATATGGGAAACTTCAGTCATGGGTGACAATGACTCGAGCCTTCCAGGAAAAGAACGTTACTGCAGAAATAATTTCTTTAATTACACAAGTCTCTGCTTTGAGAAAAGGAGAGAAAGTGGAATTTACATTTTGCAGTTTTTAAAAAAATTTTTTTTGCCACACCAATCTCTGGCGGTAGCAGAAACTGGAGGACATTCCTCTTAATATTTCAGAAGCTAATTTACATGAAAAATTATGTTACCGCGTGTTCAAAAATTGTTCACCAAGTTTAAAGAGTGAGATATGTAAGGGAAAAGGCTCTGTTTTCAAACAGGCCCAAACTCAGGATTGTTTCCAGGAAGTTAGGATCATAGGGAATCTTGTGTTCTAATGCCTTTGGGACTTTTTTGCTCCATTTTTATTGAGATATAATTGACATACAACTCTGGATGAGTTTAAGTTACATAGCATAATGACTTGATTTACCGAAAATGTTTAATGATTACCACAATAAGTTTAGTTAATATCCATCTCCTCATAAAGATATAAAAAAAAAATTCTCCCCATGAGATCTTTTAAGATACTTCTTAGCAACTTTCAAAATATACCATACAGGAGCATTTAATATAGCCATCTTGTTGTACATTACATCGCCAGGACTTATTAACTGAAAGTGTGTACCTTCTGGCCACCTTTATCCCACCCCTCATGCCCCCCCCAACATCTGCAATATATCAAATAAGATTACTAAAGTTATCAGAAGCGGAACTTCATCTTCCCATGAGGGAAAACTGAGTCAAAGGAGACTCTGTTTTTAAGTACTGGATTCTGCTTTCCTATTCCTATTCTGATTTCTCTTTACAGCTTGGGGATCAAAGAAAAAAAATTAAAACATTTTAATATGGTAACATTTGAATGAGCAAAAGGCAGATTTTCAAGACCCTGAAATCAGCCCAAGTCAAATGTTTGTAAAGTCTAAACAAAACACACTAAGTTTGTAAAAGGAACACCAACACTTCCTGTTAAATCTCAGCCATAATAGTGGTGTGTCATAAAGGTGGGTACTATCCTCTCCTGACTCAACCTCTAAATGCTAGTAAAGACAGACAGACCCTGGCGGAAGCAAGTGTAAACTCATCTCTAAATGACTGTAAGAGTTCAGGCTGGATGTGAATGATCTTTTCAGTATTTATTAGCTTGGTGACCTTGGGAAATACACCATTTTCTATGCCCTGATGTTCCGTCCACAATTTAGAGCTAATAGTACCAATACATTCTGCGGTTTGGGGAGGATTACTTCAGATGCTGGTTGAGAGGCATTTTCTATCTAGTAAGCATGTAACCTTAGCCATTATTTTTATTAGTATTTGAATGTAGCAGGAAAGTCCCATGCGTACTCACAAAGTGAGGACTTTCCCGTGGACCGAATTCCCCTGCCTGCCAGTGACCCGCAATGTAGCTAACCTAGCGGTGCCCAATGCAAGGCTGAGAATTCCTGATTTGAGGTCATCTTTACCTGTCTCCAGCCAAAGCAGAAAAATAAGAACAATTTAGTGAGGTGTGTGGTTTTTTTTTTTTTTTTTTTTTTAAGCTAAAGGGATTCTCATTAAAGACCTGGTGTTTAAATGATAGACTGTGTGATTTTCTTGGTGTTAAACTCTTTGATGAAACTTTGATGAAGATAAGTCATTGTATTTTTCTTTTAGAAGTGTTGGCAAACCCGAAATTCCTAAAAATAATCCCCAAATCCAGAATTGACCTCAAAGCCCTTCTCCCTTTCGGAGCCTCTCAGACCGGACAGACCCACGCGGGGGAGGTGATAAAGACAGTCGCCCCGGAGGGGCCTCCGCGCGCCCAGCGGACAGAACCGGACGCGGAGTCGAGGCCGCAGCAGAGGGCGGTGGCAGCCGAGGGAGGCGGGGCCCAGGCGGATCCCGCCCCTTAGAACGCGATCCTACCCGTAAACCGGCCCCGGCGCTTGCAGCTCCGGCCAATTCTGAAAGCCTTTGGATGCCCTACGGCCAAGCCGTATGAAGCTGAGCCAATGGGCGGCCGCGTTACACGCTGCTGGACACCAAAGTCGCGAGTCCTCCCGGTGTCTGTGGCTGGCCAAAGTGGAAGCCAGGTAGTGGCTGGTCGTGGTACCTCTGCGCCCGGGTCTACATCCGACTGAAATCCGCCCGCAGCCGACCCGGGCCTGGAGGGTGGGGCAGGCGGACGGCGGCAAAGATGGGGCCGCCGGGAGCCTGGGCGTTGGTGGCGGCCGAGGGTAGCCTGCGGGAAGCCGTTTGTGAAGTCAACCGGTTCTCACTGCCTCTCAGGGTGCGGCCCCTAGACCGCCCGCATCACTGTGGGGTGGGGGTGGGGGCGGGGGCCGGGGCCGGGGGGGAGGAACTCATTTCAAAGACGGACTTCGCAGCTCACCCTGGACCCACTGTGTCGGAAATCCCGCGGCGAGCCGGGAGGTGATTGTTATGCGCTCTTACGTTTAAGAATAAGTACAGGAGAGCGCGATGGGGCGGGTCGACGGCTCCCTGATTTTGACAGTAAGAGCCGTGGGCTGGCTGTGTTCTCCAGATCTTACCGCCTCTTAAGGACTCACAACCTCGGGATCTGGGTGAAATCATCTGTAGAATGAAATGATGCTCTCCGACCTACCTTCTTCTCATGGAGGTGAGGTGATGATCAAAATTAAATAGAAGCCCAGTGGGCCACGGACGCGTCGGGAAGATGGGATGAGTATTTCTGAATTACTCATCCAGACTTGTGCTGAACTGATGGATGGGGTTTTCACAGTATTTAATTACATCGATGGGGTCCGCCTGCTAGGTACCCAGCACTGGAGTTGGTAGGAAAAGTCTGAAGGGGATTGAGATTGGAGACTGGGAGACCAAATAGGAGGCCACCTAGTCACCTGACTTTGAGGTGATACGAGTCTGGTCCTCACTAGTGACAATGGGAATATAAAAGACGGTGATGCTGATGGAAAGGAAAGAATGAGGAACTGAAAACTGGAGCGGGTAGCTCTTGAAACAAGTTATCTAAGTGGAGTGTCCTATAGGCAATAAGAAATCTAGGTTGAAGTCCAGTTCTCACCAGAGATGATGACTTAGAGGTTTTTAGCATAGACTACGATAAAACCCTTAGAATCACAGAAGTATCCTGAGACAGGAAATGTGCTTACACTTCCGCAGGAGGGCCTTAAGGAAACCCCACAGTTTAGCCATGATGTCAAATCAGAGAAGGTGATCCAGTGAGACGTGAGAGCCCTTGATAAAATTAAAGCTTATTTTATTCATATTAATGAAGGAAAATGTCAGACATTTCTTCCCTGCCAATTCTTGCCCCCATCAGAGCCCAAAGTCACAGGCCTCGGGGCTGTTCTGCAAGTAGAGTTTGAGGAAACCTTGAAGGGCCTTAGGCTCGATGAGAAGGGCTGATACCGCGGGATCTTTCCTCATGGCTGCCACCCAGAGCTTAAGTTTTGGAGTGTGGTCTATACAACTGTGGGAAGGGAAAAGGTAGAAGGCATTACAAAGGCTCCTATTATCATTAGCACTCTGCAGTTTTTGTTTTCCTCTAATCTTTTAAATACTTCTTTAAAATGCACATAATTAGGATATTAGATTTGGAAGATATTGTAAAGGTCTTTGTTTTATGGACAAGGAATCTTAGAGAGTGAAGTGACTTGCTCAGTTAGCATGAGAATTTGTCCAGGCAGACTAGTAACTTTTTAAAGGGAGAACATGAAAGACAGCCATGAATGTTACATATTTATTCTATAGCCAGACTGTGACTAAAAATAACCCTGAATAACTCCAAGCTCTAAGAATTGACAGTAAGCTGATTTGGCTGCCAAAATTCAGAACGTGAGTTTGAAAGAGTGTGGGAATCCTGCCGGTAAATGGGAGGTAACACTGGTCAGACAATCCTGCATGACATGCTATAAAAAATATACCTCCTTATGGATCTTTAACCAGAAGGGAAGGAGTAAGTTACTTTTAAAAGATTTTACTACATGTTCTGGAACTCTCTGTCCACCCCACCCCCACACACTCCAGGAGTGAAGAAGGGTGGTGAGTACATGCCCTGGATAGTCCAAGACTCTCCTCCTGTCTGCCTGTTCCCATTCATACCAGTTATATAAAATATTCTAATTTTTGTTCAGAAAAAAGGTCAATATATCCTCTTCCAATTAGCATTATCCTAACTTATGCACAAAATATTCAAATGTCTTACTCATTTAACTCCAGAATTTCCATTCGTTCAAACCAGGGCCAGATGAGGTAATCAATCATAGAAAGAGAATTGCCACCAAAGAAGGTTGTCTTCTTATTGGTAAGAACCTGAACGTTAAACAGCAGAAGAGTACTTGTTATTGGTGCATTTAATAAGACTCATCATCAGAAATGATGAAAGCAAGTTTAAGTAGAGCAAGTGAGAGCAGCAGCTTTTACTCTGACATATTCAAGCTGGCATTTTGTTTGAACTTTAGCATCTCCTGGTTTGGGATGAAGGCAACAACCAATAAAATAAACTGGAAAGTAGAGAAAAATAAAGCAAGCAACAGAATATGAGATCTTTGTGATACATATATCCAACAAAGGACTGGTATTCAGAATATAGAGAGAACTCCTGGGAATCAATAAGAAAAAAGGCAAACAACTCAATAGAAAATGGGGCAGACTTGATCTTCAGAAAAAAAGGATATTCTAATGGCCAAAAACCATGTGAAAAGGTATTCAACTACATTAGTCATCAGGGAAATGCAACTCAGAGCCAAAATGTCATACTACACATCCATTGTAATAACTAAAATGAACAAGACAAAGTTAACAAGGGTGTGGAACCACTGCTGGTCGGAGTCTAAGCTGGTACAACCGTGTTTTAACAGTATGTACTAGAGCCAAGTGCATGCATTCTCTAACCCAGTAATTCTACTCTTTGGAAATGTGAACACATGTTCAACAAAAGATAGGTGGAAGAATGTCAACTGCAGCACAATTTGTAATAGCCCCAAAGTGGAAACATTTACTGTCTATCAGGAGTAAAATGGATAAACTGTGCTACAGTCATATATTGAAAGGATAGGAAAGAACTGCATACAAAAGAGATGAATCTGACAAAGCTGATACTGTATGAAAGAAGCCAGACCCAAAAGAGTGCATATTATAGAATTCCATATGTATAAAGTATAAAAACAGCCCAAACTAATGTTTCTTGATATGGGTGCTAGTTCCATGACTATGTTCACTTGGTAAAAATTCATCAAGGTGTACTCATGCTTTGGGTACTTCTCTGTATATAACACTTCAATAAAAAACGGACTCAAAATACACTGGAAATAACTGGGTTAACCGTTAGACCAATGTCAAATAAAATTATTTGAAAACCAAACACAAAGAGTATGTTTCTGAAATTCAAGAATGTGCACTGGTGTTAATGGTTTTGCCAAAGTAGAGGAACTAATTAACACCTAACCAACTTAACTTTTTATAAAACTTTCATAGTTTTCCTCAGGGCCCATATAACATTCTGCATTGTAGACTGATGGCTTATACCTACTGGTATATTTGTCTTTTGTCCACAACCAAGCTAATCATCGAAGAGTATAGACCGTATCTTATTTTCTACCTCTCACACTATCCAGGAGAGTGCCTTGCAATTATTAGGCACTCAGAATTGTACAACAAATCAATGTTAACTGGGTCTGTCCTTCAACTGTAATGTCTGGTTATTATATTGTGTATAAATAAAATTAAGTATGGCAGTTTCAGTCAGGACGAAATAATCTGCTCAACAGGCTAAAACATGGAAATGGCACTACTCACTATAAGGCATGAGTTCTTAATCTGGAGTCTATGAAGGCAGATGGGGAAAAGGTATAATATACTGCCCTCCTTCCCTACCAACACCAAATTTAGCAGGTATTTCCATAATGAAATAAACCACAGTAGAATTAATCTTATATATTTTAACTTAAGCATTTAAAAATGCTGAGAAGGGGTCCATAGGCTCTAGTAGGTTGCCAAACACAAAAGAAGTCTTAATCTTCAAAGAAACAGTATCCCACATGTATTCTCTGACTATAATGTAATTAAATTAGAAAATAGCAAAAGGTTTAGGAAACTTACAAGTACACTGATAAATAATAGCTAGGCAATGAGAAAATCACACTGGAAACAGCATAAAAAGCCAATTTAGAACAGAACAATGAAAACTTGCCTATTAAAACTTAATTGGGGGGTGCCTGGGTGGCCCAGTCACTAAGTCTCTGCCTTCGGCTGAGGTCATGATCCCAGGGTCCTGGGATCGAGCCCCATATCGGGCTCTCTGCTCGGCAGGAAGACTGCTTCTCCCTCTCCCACTCCCCTTGCTTGTGTCCCCTCTCTCACTGTGTCTCTGTCAAATAAGTAAATAAAATCTTAAAAAAAAAAAAATCTGTCTTTAAAAAAAAAAAAGAAACAACCTTAATTGGGCATAACTAAGATATTATTTAGAAGTAATATATTGGTCATTAATGCATTATACAATCAAGAAAAACTGAAAGTAAGTGCATTACCTACTGAACTCCTCAACTAGTCAGTAAAAGAAACAGCCAAACCTATCAAATGATTTCAGAGATTAGAAATGCAGGGAATATGGACACTGGGGACGGTATGTGATATGGTGAGTGCTGTGAAGCATGTAAGCCGGAGGATTCACAAACCTGTACCCCTGGGGCAAATAATACATTACATGTTAATAATGAATAAAAAAATTAAGAAAAAAAAAACAGGGAAAGTAACCCAACTCATTTTATCAAATTAGACTATCCTTAATATAAAAAACAAAAACATTATGAAAACAAAATAATACAACCTCATTAATAATATGCAAATTATTTAAATATTAACTAGTTCTCAAGTTTTTATCTCCGTAATGCTAGGATGGTTCAACACTAGAAAAATCAACACCATATTCATCAGATTAAAGAGAAAAAAATTCCATGAACATCTCAATAGATGTGATACAGATAAAACATTCAACAAAATCACATTCATGATTTTTGTTAAAATCAGAAAACTAGTGGGGCGCCTGGGTGGCTCAGTGGGTTAAGCCTCTGCCTTTGACTCAGGTCGTGGTCTCAGGGTCCTGGGATCGAGCCCCACATTGGGCTCTCTGTTCAGCAGGGAGCCTGCTTCCCTCTCTCTCTCTGCCTGCCTCTCTGCCTACTTGTGATCTCTAGCTCTGTGTTTCAAATAAATAATCTTTTAAAAAAAAATTAGCAAACTAGTTAACTTTCTTAATGAAAAAAAAATTCCAAAAAAATCCACAACAAGCTAAATACTGATAAAATATTAGGATGCATTCCC